GGCTCTTCTTATGTTCTTATGGAGATGGAGGAAGAGAAATCAGTGCTACAACAGAGTTGTTGATTTGCTGATGTATCTGCAGCCTCAGGGGATTTGCTGGGCCGAATGATGCCATTGCGGAAGATTCTTATGTCTAAGAAGGACATAAGCATGCCTTGCCTATAGGCTTTTACGTTGTAGCTTTTCTACATTTATTGCTTCATTAGTTTGGCTTTTTATAAAAACGCTCTCTGTAATTGCATGGAGCTAAAACATTAGAATAAATTGTTAGTTGATAGAGTTTTATAGACCACATTTGAGTTTTGTTACCCATTTCTGGCAAAGTTTAAGTATCCTTCCTTTTCATTTTATTGAACCGCAATTCTAAATCCGCCGGCTCTCAGTCTGCGGGGGATCTGGAGTCAGTACTAACACGTTTAAGATTACGGCCTAAAATATGTTGGTGTTTACTTCCAAGTAAATTGTGCTAATAATTATTTATGTCTCTCCTCCACAGTGAAATGGGTCGGAGTTGGAAAATCAAGGGAATCGATGATCCAGCTCTTCTAAATGAACAAAGAACTTTGATGAGAAGCAGTTTTTAGCATTCATCTGCTCCTGACTTCCGAGCAGAGATGAAGAGGCTGTTAAAACTGAAGCATTATTCTTAGGTTTTGGCTAGATGTCTCTTGTATTTTCAAGTAGGTATATGTATTTAAAAAAAACAGAAACACAAAGTAGGAACAGGACAGATCTTGGGATGGGGGGAGAATTCAGGGTCACCTTTGAAACGAAGTTTAAACCGCATGTGGAATTATTTTTCCTAGCTGCTGCTAAACACTTGAGATTTATGCCAGACTGTAGATGCCAGTTAAGGGAGACGGGCTGCTATTCCTGTGCTAGGAAGCCATTGAAATGGCAGCATAAGATGTTTGCTGCATTTAACATTAGGCTGGTTATGCAGCTCCTTTTTGAAAACCTAGCCAAAGTGGCGTAGTCCCTTCCATGTCTACCAGTCAAAGCACAGGAAACATCACCTTGGAAACTCTATCCTTTGTAGTAAGCAACTGCCCAGATATAAATGGGAGAGGAGCAAAGGAGATGGTCCATACCGTGAAGGAAGCCAGTTCTCTGCAGTGGATCGAGCTGGAGACACGCGACCAGCTTTGGGCTGAAGAGTCCCCACCTCCCCAATAGTCACCTACTCTCCTTTAGAGGTGCTGTGCTCTTGCCTGTCGTGTACCAGGTGGGAGATCAAAGGAACCTTGGCCAGGTTGGAAGGTTCTACAAAACAAGAGACAGGGATGTGGCCATAGCGACACCACACCCGCTCGTTTAGTGCCTGGTCTGAGCGCGATGTCCTGCAGACCGTGAGCGGCTTGGGTGTTGTGCGTGGGCGGCAGCGGTTATTACCGCTGCAGTCTCAGTTGCTTTGCAGAATATTAAAGAGTAGTGTTAGGGCTACTCAACTGACACTATCCAATACAGGCCTGTAGTAGCTCCCCACCCCCCCACCCCGGTGATGCTCTGTCGATATTAAGTTACAAGAAGCTGTGATGATATTTGGAGCAGAGGCCAACCCTTTACAATAGCAGGGGTAACCTGACATGCCAGAGCGAGGCCCAAGGAGAGGCACAAGTCGTTGATCCGGACCAGCAGACCTCCGTGAGCGTGCGTGATTTCGGTATGAACATTTGTGTGGAAACAGCAGCCTAATAGCCCAGACTCGCCTGCTCTCATCAGCAGTGTTCCCTCTAAGCTGAGTTAGTGTGAGCCAGCTCACAGTTTTTTTAACCTCCGGCTCACGCATTTTTGTCCTAGCTCAGGAAGGGATGGCTCCGGAGCAAACTAATTTATGCAGTAGCCAAATCTCTGGCTCACCACTTTAATGCCGGTAGCTCTTAAAGTAGAATTTTTGCTCACAAGACTCCACAGCTTAGAGGGAGCATCAGTGCTCGGAAGCTAAGCAGGATCGGCCACAGTTAGTACTAGGGTGGGAGACACCCAGGGAAGACTCAGACTGCTGTGCAGAGAAAGGCAATGTCCATCCACCTCTGGTTGTCTCTTGCCTTGGAAAACCCTCATGGTTCCGGGGCTGCCATGAGACATTGCAGCGCGATGATGCGCAATTATTATGTGCATGGGAAAGACACAGTTTGTGCCATCCCAGCACCTGTCCAAGTTGACTCGAGCCACTGAGGCCACGTGTCTCTGTGGATTGTCACATCTGTTGCAAAACAGCGAGGTGCAAAACATGAAACACGACATGGCAGACGCTGACCTGGATGCACTTGCAAGCAGCGCAGCTCGTTTTGGTCCTGCTCATTAGCAGCAGGACGGCAGCCATCCTCGGTTCCTGCACAGATGCCAGGTCCTGGCAGAATGGGCCGGACCTTGCAGAAACCCCATGGCCTGGAAGTGCCCAACTCGGCATAGGCCACTGGGCTATTCAGGGGTCCTGCACTGATGAACCAAATGTCATGTTCATTCTAGCCCCGAGGTACAGAGCTTGCGTGCATCACCCCGCACATTCTGCAAAAGACAAGCTGTTAATGTGAGGTTTCCTTTCCTGTGATTTAGTTTCTGTCACACAAATTGGGCCAAAGAAAATTCTTAGTGTGAGTGTGCATCTGAACATATTAAGCTCTAAGGATGGCATTAGTGCCTTCTGCCAGTTCTCGGCGCTGTGACATTATGGCCATTCTGTCCCTCTTTTTGTGTGTGTATTTTGTCTGCTTGCATGCCTGGAAGTCATGGTGACGTCTGGCAACTCCTGGTGGGGCTTGAACATTTCAGAGAGGTGGTTTGGTACCGCCTGCCTCTTTGTCCCGGCCCTGGTATTCCTTGGAGGTCTCCCATCCAAGTACTTGCCAGGGTCGGCCCTGCTTAGCTTCCGAGATCTGACAAGATTGGGCTTCTCTGGGCTATCTGGGTCAGGGCTGCCATTCTGTCTCTCTTAAGGAAGAACCTTCCCAAGCTGTGCGACTTCTGTTTCAGAAATATTGCATACAAGCGAAATATTGGCTCTGCCCTATTGCTTGTAACGGCCTTATCCAAGGTAAGAGTGGCCACTTTAAGCCACAGAGGCTGTGTGTTATCGCTCAGAAACGTAGCACAAACAGCCTCTGCGGGAATCCAGAGCATTGCAGATATAGCTTTGTTCCAGAGTTTGAAGCACATGGGTACCTTTGCAGACCTCCTATGAAGGATGTTATTCCCTTTTAAAATGGTCACCCCCCCCCCCAAACCACAGCGTTTTGCTTCCAAATATCAAGACTCATATTTCAAAACATACTTGTTTCTGAGATGTGGTTCTTGATCTTATACCAGTTAAAGGGTCTAATACAATCTGAACAAAATATGAGAGCAATTAAAATATGCTATGCTGCATGGTTCCAGGGAGGTTGTCTCTTTATAGGGTATAGCCATAATGAACTTGCTAGGCTTTTTAAGATGCCACTAGATTCTCTGTTTTGGCTACACCCTGGCCCCTTTTGGAATACTTAATAATTGTGTTTTATGTAAAACCTTTCTAGGTTGCTTTTTACCCAAATAAGGGTCCCCGTGGATCTCTTTCAGCAGAATTCCCATAGGCCATTCCCTAAAGTGAACATTTCTGTCTTCCAGATCTTTTCGACTGATGATTTTTCTCGTAAAGCACTTTTAGAAATTATTAATAGCATGGCTCAGTGCATGTGGTGGGGTGCTAATCGGTTTGCATTTCTGGTAGGCTCCAGTCCCGGTCAGGAAAGGGTCTGGACCGTTCCCTCAAGCTATGGAGCCTTGGCACATACACAGCTGAGCAAAACTGACGAATGCAACCCTGCTTTTGCTAAGGTTGGGTTTGCAGTGCTTGATAGCAGGAAGCCCAGGACACAAGCCATAAATTATAGCCAACGACTCTTAAAAGCAGCTTTGAGTTCCAACTATTGTTGCTCGGTTTAACCTATCTTTGCACTACCTGGAAATACGTTTTCTGCTAAATGACTTCAGCTTCTGCTGTTCAATGCCTGGTGCGAAAGGAAAGGGCTGTGGTCTTGTTTAAGAGAGTTAAACAATCTGAACGGTGTGCCGGCTGGCAGCCATTTCCTTGTGCAAGATCATCCACGTGGGACTCATTGGAACGAGTGGCAATTGCGTCCTGGAGCCATTGCGCTGCTTCTGTTTATTTCAGAGGGGTTTTTGCAGAATTTCCCTGTGGATTGTGCCCGTTTGTCATCAGGCCTTTTAATCACAATGAAACTTTTTTTTTGTTCCTGTAATTTTATTCTGTTTGACTGTGGTAGAGAATCTTGAATATTTTTTTTTTAATTTCATCAGAAATGTGTGGTTTTTCTCTCTCCCTGAGATCCAGACGGGAGTTGTTGTACAGTTCACTCAGTGATACAAACCTTAATATGAAGTATATTTTTGAAGTGAGTAAAACAACCTTTGCCATTGTGCCTGTTTTTCCCTGTTCTGTATTTTTAAGAATCGTTTTGCGGGGAACGTGGTTTTTTAATAGTTTAGCGTAGCTTGGCACGTTTAAATTCAAGATTCATGACCTGACACAAAACTGCTTTAACTGAACTGGGGTTCGGGGGGCAGAGCAGATGTCTTAAGAGGATATTTCAGCACGGGATGTGGGGGGGAAGACTAAGGACTAAGTCCTTATGATGCTTTCTGTGTCCCTGTTACTGAGTACAGCCAAGCAGACTTCCTAACTAATGCACTAAGTGTTCTCTTGGTTATTTTTGTATATTGTAAATGGAGATGAATACTCTTATCTTAGAAATCTTCCTTTTTGCTCAATAAAGCCTTACAAGACTTGCCCTTCTGTTCCTTCTTTTTTGCATTAATAGGAAATTGTACTCCACTGATGTGTATTAACGATATATCAGACGAATGTAGAGCTCAGACTACATGGTGAGGCTGGAGTATTTTGGTTCCTCAAAAGCAGCTGCAAGGAGCCCCTGATGTGGCACCAGGGAAGTTTTTTTAAAAAAAATTTCCTGCAAGGAGCCCCTGATGTGGCACCAGGGATGTTTTTTAAAAAAGCTTTTACCCCTTCAGTCAAAAATCGTAGCTGCCTTAAGCCCATCCCAACATTTGTGCGGAGGAAAAAACGGTTGCAGTAGCAAAAATCCTGCCTGCTCAGAAAAGCATGGGAGTTTGCCATGTTTGTTCTAAAATTGACCTGGATTCTTACATATTAACTTCCCCAGACTTTACTTCCTCCCCTTCTGTAGTTCTGAGTAGCAGTTCTTCCTGTTCTGTGTGGCAGGAGCCACGGCTCAGTGGCAGAGCATCTGCCTGGCATGCCAAAGGTCCTAGGTTCAGTAACCATCATGAAAGACCTCTGCCTGAGACCCTGGAGAGCCACTGCCAGTCTGAGTAGACAATACTGAATTTGATGGAAGATGGTCTGATCCAGTATAAGCTTCATGTGTGTACATGCAGGATTTAAAGCAAACAGGACATCCTGTGTCAGTGCACACCTGTGAGAGTGAAGCCAACCAAACAGTGCAAGTGTGCTCTTTTAAACGGACAGATATGAATAGGATGTGCCCGTGGCTCAGAGTGTAGGGCATCTCTGCATGCAGAAGGCTGCAGGTTCAATCCCCGGCATCCAGTTAAAAGGACCAGGTTGTAAGTGATGTGATAGACCGCCCCCTAAAACCCTGGAGAGCTGCTGCCAGTCAGTAGAACAAACAAGCAAGGAGAAGGCTGCCAATAACAGAATCGACCAAGCATAAAAAAGCAACCTTGAACAATGTAAACAGAATCTATTTTTTTAAAAAAAAATATTTATAGTGATATAAAATGAAGAAGAGGAGATTGGATTTATACCCCACCCTTCACTACCCAAAGGAGCCTCAGAGTGGCTTACAAACTCCTTTCCCTTCCCCTTCCCACAACAGACACCTTGTGAGGTAGGTGGGGCTGAGTGACAGCAACTGCTCTTTTTCAAGAACAGCTCCGGCAGAACTCTGACTTGCCCAAGGTCATTCAGCAGCTGCAAGTGGAGGAGTGGGGAATCAAACCCAGTTCTCCCAAATTATAGTCCACGCACTTAACCACTTCACCAAACTATCATGCAAAAAGTACAAATAAAGTACAAAGTATGTTAATACATTAAAAGACATACAAGTGGGACATAAACCCTGCTAAAATACAATCTTAAAGGGACAAGTCCCTTGGGAAATACAATCTTAAAGGGACCAAGCCAATAAACAACCCTCTTAGACGGAAAGAACAAGAAGAACATTCTCTGCAACAGTGGAAGACAAGTCCCTTGGAGCATGAAGACGTCAAGGTTAGTAAGACATGACAGGCCTGTTTTGAATCAATATCTTTATCAAGCTTGTTAGTCTTCATAAGGCTTGTGGGACTTCCACTGGTTTCCAAGAATTCACAAGTGCACGACGGTCAGGGGTCATTTCGTAGAAAAAGAGGTGCAGCTCATTAGCATAACTCATTAGCATAACTCGTTTGCATATGCCACACCTCCTGACGTCACCGGAAGTGTGGCAGAAGGCAACACCCACCACTCAGGCTCCACTGGACTGTTTTGGATGCTAGCTGTGGCGGGACGCACAGATCTGTCCTCACAGTGGAGGGAGAGCTTGTACCTGAAGGGGGGGGGGGCTCTGCAACTTACCTGGCTGCTTCTTGCTCCTCGTGGCCCAACTGAGGGCTGCTCGGAGCAGGGGGCGGGACTTGCTGCATGTGCCCACCCCCTGGACTCCTTACTGCCGGAGCTCCGTTCCTGTGCGCTCCCACAGGAAATGACCCCTGATGACGGTAAGTGTCCCTAATGACAAG